TAAGTCACATCACTTCATAGTACGCCCAACATATGACAACCTTAGTCGAGTCATCTTGGCTTCCAATGAGAATTCAGGCCCAATTTGCTCTCAGACCCATTCGTTTGGCATAAAGCTACTTCTTTTCCTCCTAGGGCAAGTTTGTCAATCATCTGGCTAGCTATGATCCCTGGCTATGAAGCTTTGTGGGGCATAAGCCTTCCTTGCTATTTCGGTGGAGAACTATTCATTTGGTATTTTGGAGATAAGGTTTCTTTGGATTCTTCTTGTGTGGGGTGCTTTATAATGATGGCATGCATGTCGCTTAGCGATAGCCTGGTTTCTCTTTCTCTCATTCTGTCTTTGCTCCGTTCAAAGGAGAGCATTTATAAAAGGATGAGGACAAGGGACGGCAGGGTGTTCCTTGATCTGAAAAGCCTTCACAACAACCACACAACTACAAAAGAGGAGCGAGGTGCTTGTGAGGTGGCAGGGGCGATTGCAGAAGGAACGAAATCATTTGGTCCAGGATAATAACCCACCTGGGTGGGTGATGGAGCATTATGGGAGGGGGAGATCTTGGAAAGACAGGTTGCTTGAGAGGTTGTCAGAAAACCCTTCTCTTCTGCACAGCCAAAGACTTCATGTTTTTGTCACCGCTCACCATGGCGTGGTTTTGACAGCTCTCTGCTGTCTGGGGCACGCTTGTCTCATCTGCTGTCTCTTTTCCAGAGCTGCTTAATGCAAAATTGGCCAAGCCTGTTGACTGAAGGGAAATTCAACCTGCCCGGATCTGTGTTGACACATGATTCAAGTCAAACAGCTTCGAGCGCAGGCAGAGTGCGCAATGGTTAGACTCTTGGACTGGGACTCTGGAGATTCAAGTCCCTTCTGCGCCATGAAGCTCTGTAGGAGATCTTGGGTTCTCTTCCAGCCTGGCCTACCTCACAGGCTTGTTTTGGGGGGTTGTAGGGGAGGAGATCCATCTAAGTCCCCTTGTTTTAGCACCATATCATCCCGAACATCCCAGTCCTGACTTTAGAAGCTAAGCAGGGTCAAGCTTGCTTCGTCCTTGTATAGAAGGTCAGCAGAAAATTGCTGCACCTACATTGCAGAAATAATGCAGTTTAACACCACTTAAACAGCCATGGCTCAGTGCAATGGAATGATGGGATCTGTAGTTTTGTGAGCTATTTAGACTTCCCTATCAGCAAGCTCTGGTCCCAGAACAAACTACAAATCCCATAATTCTGTAGCATTGAACCAGGGCAGTTAAAATGGTGTCAAACCGCATTATTTCTTCAGTGCATGCACAGCCTAGGTTGCAGTCTCATTCTTGCTTGAAAATAGTATTTCCCAAATGATTGCTTCCTGATGCATTGGACTACCATGCCCATCCTCCCCAGCCAGCATGGCCATGGGTGTTGATCTCTGCTTCCTGCCAGGCTGAGGAAGGCTCGACTAAGCAAAACAGACTTTGTTTAATGGAGAATATAGAACAGAAAGAATTATGTCCCTCTAGCTAACACATTTTTGGAAACGTGTTACATAGAACAGATAGCTGTTTAAACTCTTTAGGGGGGACTGTTGCCTTCAGAAGAGAAATGGCTCAATGAAGCTGGCAACATCTTTCTGTTCTTTCCCTTTTTTGGTTTCTTTGTCTTCTTGTGCAGCGCGAATAATAATTGCAAGGATTATTTTGCAGTTTCCTCTGGAGATAACAAAATCTGATCCTGTCATCCCCTGGCTTTGTTTGTTCTTAAGCGAATTCCGGGAGCAGGGAGCCAAGCAGAACATGACAAATACATGAAAAACATATCCTCCAGTATCCTCAATTTTTGGATTACATTCCTTCTTTGGAACATAATCCATGCTGATGAAGTCTGGCTCACGTTTTATCATGGCTGTGGGAGTGGGCTTTGATGACTGGCTCCTAAATGTGGGAAATGAATCTTACGCAAAAGCTGTGCCTTTGTCTGTGAGAGGCCTGTGATGGCTTTGTCACATAGGCCAATCATCACTTGATGGTACATCCCAGACTAAGGGCCTCTACAGACAGCCCATTTCCTGCTAGCGGTGGATCGAGGCCATGACAACCCCAAGCCATGGCCCCAATCCTCCCTTTTGCTGCCCCCCAAAGAGCGGCAAAATGCCGCTCCTTTTATGGGCAGCCAAAGGCCACCCTAAGAGCTGGCACTGCGGCTCTTCTGCACCCTTTTGGCGCAGCGTGTCTGTGCGTACAAGTGCGTGGCGTCAGGACGGTGTCGGGGTGGGGTTGGGGCAGCTGATGTGCAGCTTCCGTGCCCCAACTCCACCCCCAGGCTGGCCCTTTAGGACGGTCTGCAATGCCCCTAACCCCCAGAACATCTATTTTTTTAAAAAAAAAAAATTAGCAATAGCAATAGCATTTTACATGTCTAGTCCGCTTCATAGTGAACTAAGCACTCTCTAAGCAGCTTACAGTGTGTAAGCCAATTGCCCCCAACAGGCTAGGTATTCATTTTACTGACCTACGAAAGGATGAAAGGCTGAGTCAACCTGGAGCCCAGTGGGATCGAACTCACAATGTTGTGGTGCAGTATCAGCATTTAACCACTGCGCCACCAGGGCTAATTCGGGTGAGTTTTCTTTTTACCCCAAAGAGCCTAAAACTGTGCAAAGCCACTACCTAATCACAGCAGTTCTGCTTCTCTCACCCCCGTGTGCCCATACCCTCCAACATTTCAAGATGAAAACTGAGATACAAGTAGCCAAGCATTGTTGGAGTGTGGTCAAGATGGCAAAAGTTATTAATAGGGAAGAACCCACAAGATAAGAGAGGCTGCAGAAGTTTGCTTTTGCCTGAGCTTACTGGGAAGGGCAAGATCCTTCTCCTTCCTCGACTCTTCTCTTTGCAGTGTTGAGTGCAAGTTACTTTTGTACTTTGAAATCAGTGTGTAGCAATTGGAGTAAGCTGAGAACAAAGGGCAGAAGTGGGAGGAGGAAAGAGAAACTGGGACATTTTAAAAGCAGTTGAAAAAGTGAGATGACCAAAGATTAATCAGAACTATCCCTGCCAAATCAGGATAGCTGGAGAATATATGAGCCTAGCCCTTACTCAAAAGGACAAACATACCACTTCCATTTCTGATACAACATGTTCACGCAGTCCGCCTGGCGCCTTGAGGGTTTGGTACAGCTCAATAAAAAGTTCAGTCGAGGACACTATTGATGAATGAAAATAGTGCTTTTAATATCATTTACAGCAAACTTACAGTACATTATATTTCACGTCATCACATATTTTTCTAAACTCCTCTGCAAAATATAAGCTTGCAAAAATACAGAATGCTGTACTCAAAATATACTGAGCACCATCTCTCTTTTTCTCTTTTCCATTTATTCCTCCCCATCAGTTGGAAGGAGAAGGGGACTGCAGTCTTACTTTTGAAACCTGTCTTTCTCCCCTCTCCCTCCCCCCCCCCAAAAACAAGAATTAACATAATAAATATTGGAAGTGTTGCCAGATATCCCTCCAAAGCAGGAACTTGTTTGTATTCTTTGAGACAAGTCTACCTTTAAGAGCATAACTGAGCCAAAACCACCACCATCGTATTGAGGGAATTAGAAGGGCAGAGGAATCGAAGGCCAAACACAATGGATTTCAGGGCTCTAAAAGGAAGGGATTATAGATCCCTTCCTTCTGAGGACACCAAACCTCAAGGCAATAGGGGAAAAATCTCAGAATTTGGACATGTCCATCCATGTAGATCAGGGATGGAGAAAGCATGGCCCATCGGCTGTTATATACCACCCCCAATGGTTAAAAATTGTTCAATTTTTAAAAAATGTTTAGCCTTCAAATGTCTTCTATGGGACATGGGAATCATGAGCCCGCTGTGATCAGTTTGAGGTCTATTTGGGTTTCCAATTTAGTTGGGTTTCCATTTGTCACCACACTATGTGTTTGTGTGTGTGATGAAATAATGGGATATGTCACTCTTGTCACCTAATAAGCAGCTATGAAAAACTCCATTGCATATCATTTTTTTGTGTGGGAGGGCAAGTTATGGATATAACCATTCTGGTCAATTATTTGCTCAAAGTTACTCACTCTGCCTGAAAACGTTCCTTATTGCTTATGGTGATCTCATGATGAGACATGGATTTTTCCAGCGCAAGATATGATTGGAACAGAAATGAGCATAGTGGCTTTTTCCTCCATATTCCCTTTAAAATAAACACAATAATACAGTGGCTGAATCCTGTTGCAGACCCTTCCACGGTTCACAGATGAAAACAGGGACACATGTGGGTGAGCCATATTAGAGTGTGGTCAAAGGATATGGTCAGCCAACAAGAGGGAGAAGTTATTAATGAAGAAACTGAAACAGTTCACTCCTGGACACAATTCAAAGTGCTGTCTTTGACCTCTAAAACCCTACATGGCTTTTAGCCATCCAGACCATCCAAAAAAAATCCTATCTCCCTATTCAAGCCAATGCAAATTTGAAGATTTGGAGGGGTGTCACTAGGGGGTGCGGACCACACTGGGTGACACCCCAGAAGAGATTGTTCACCCACTTGCATGGTACATCTAGTGCAGGGGTAGGCAACCTAAGGCCTGGGGGCTGGATGCGGCCCCC